TTTTTTTTTTTTTTTTTTTTTTAAATTCTACCAGAAACTCTGAGATTTACAGTCGCATTTGAGTGAGTGTAGCGCAAACGACTCGAGTCTGCTGACTGTTTTTAAACAAAAATTATGTTTCAGGATGTAGAGGAACGACATGTGGTGTTTGTGGAATTGTCGTTCCTTCAGCTCACCTGCATAAACATCTTTCTTTACATCGCGGTGAATCAGTTGTTGATAATCGAAATGTTTCCGGTGGTTTCTTCTGTGATCTCTGTGGCATTATGTTCAGACAGCACTTCAATCTGATCAAACATTGGCGAACAAGTTGTCCAGAAATTCAAGTGATTCTTGATTTCTTATTAAATGGTTTTTTAACAAAAATAAGGTGTCCTTAGGTGAAATACTTTTCCAAATAAATGTTTAGTTGGCTGTAAATAAAGAGACTGATTTCAGGCAAATTTGCCGGAGGACGAAGATATAACGATGGATGACGACGGTCTAAGGAGAATGGTTACCAGGTTGATGAGAAGGTCTCCGGAAGATATAGAAGAAGGACATATGAAAATAGACCCTGATCCACGACCTCCGGATGAAATAATTGAGAAAAGTAGGTTTTTTGTTTCACATCTTTTATCTACATTAGTGGATTTGTTTTTGCTAATTAAATAGCGTTTCAGGTCAGTTATCGGAAAGCGGTGGTACCCAAGTGGCAGCCGGAGTCGGAGAAACAAAAGTTGATGAAGTAGTTGTGGCTGTATGCGTTTAATCAATCTTTCTTGATTTCTCGAGATAGATACCGTCAGCTGGAGTATCATATTTCTGAAGTCTTGGAATTAACTTTTTCATTTTTAGTCTTATATTGTGATAAAAATTTTTCAAGGCTTTAAACGGTGTGGCTACTGAACCGTGCCAGGAAGGTCCGCAATCCGTAGCTGAAAGGGCTGAATCGAGTGTCATCCCGGAAGAAAGGCAGAGGCTGGAATCGTTCGATGGGAAATGGGGTGACGAGCAGGTATTGCCTCGAACCGGGATTTCTTTTTCATTTTCTGTATTACCACTGTGAAAATAGACAACGAATCTTAACTCATTAAGGACATTGTTTTTGCTGATGACTTTGTGGTAGATGATGATGGTGTTGTGTCTAGTGGAGATTCATTAACAGCCGCACAAAATCGTACGAAGTGGTCGCTTTCTGGCGGCCCGGTTCAGTGTTCTGAATGTTTTCGGTCTTTCGCTAACTCGGGCAGGTAAAAAAAATTAGCCTTAGGAATTATTAATGCTTTTAGGTGTCCTTGAAAAACTTGTAAATGTTCAGGTTGGAAAGACATCTCGCTGGTTTTCATGCAAGCTTTGGCAGTCATCATTGCATACTGTGCGGGAATCGTTTTAAATATGATTACAATTTGTTATATCATTATCGGAGATCTTGCCCGTATACAAGAGCATTTATTGATCACGATGTTAGAGAACAGGTTTGTACAGTTCGACAGGTTCTTCCTGTGCGAGTTCTTCTTCATTTATTTACTGAAGAATTCTGGTCAGCTTATACTTTTTCAAAGTTAGAATTCGAACAGCTTAAGTGCTGTATTTCAGATAGATGCTATGAATTTGCGAAAGCTTGTTAGAAACCTTTCTCAGAAAGAAGTGAACTTAATGCCTCATATATCTAAAAGTCGTATTCCGTATAAAGATCCTGCTGATATTATTGGTAGTCGAAGGCAACTGTTACGGTACCCGACTCCAGCAAATCAACCTCCACCGCATCTGTTAGTACCCCGTCCTGGTTTGGGTCGCGGAAAATCATGCCCTGTTTGTTGTAAGGATTCAAACTTTAACTTCATTCAAAAAATCTTATTTTTTGGTAGAGTTTGTTTTTCGTGATAAGAAACGTTATTTCAAAGAAAAGCTAGATGGTTCAATAAATTATATTTATTTTTCTGTAATTTTTGGGACTTAGTCGAATTATTTTTTTACAGCTGTTATTTTTTATGGAAATATCGCGATTGAAAGGCACCTGAAGGCCGCTCATCCTATAGAATTTGAAGAGTGGAACTTGCAAGGTTTACTTGAGTCTAGCTATTTAGAGGAAAGTGGACGTCGAATTGTTATGCAAGGTTTTGATATGTGCTTTTTGGTATAATCTGGGCAGGTCAGTTTAAAATGATTTTGGTTTTTTTCCAAACTTCAGAAATTATTGATGAAGCCGGTGACGTAGTAGAGGAAGCGGTTGAGGAAGTTCCTGAGCCTCCTCCGACATTAACAGCTGAACTTCCTGTTGAACAGGTAAATGTAGTAAATGCACTCATCAGTAATTTTAATGAAGGTCACTTCACAGTTTTCCGGTTATGGTCTTGAAACTACTTTAACTTTATTTCAGCCAGTCGTTTCTACTTCAAGGAGTAGTTCAATAAACGCAGAAAGATCAATAAGACAGGCACATATTGAAGAGGATGAACATGGCAACCAACGGATTGTTGATGAAAACGGCGTAGTTGTTCGTCTTTGTTTTGTTCAATTAACTTACGGTAATTTGGAGTGGTATCTAAAATTGCTGTTTAGATCGAAGCGACAGATGGTGAAGTTCCTCTGCAAATCGAAGATAATGAAAACTTGAGACAGTACATAACTGTACAACTCCAAGTTCCTGATGGGGAAATAATATTTGTGGAAGAGAACGTGAGTTCATTTGCAAGGTATAAATTAGAGTTGGGTAGAGGTGAATGCGAAAAACAGTTGGGCAGTGGTGTTCTCACCGTCATTTGTGAAGCATATGAGGTGTGGGCATTTGTTTTTACAGTTAGTTTAAATTGTGGGTGGAAAAATATTTTCTATCGTGAGCGGACAATTATATATTTTGATATCAGAAGTTGAGTAGTTCTTATTTAAAGAAAAAGCAGCGTAGGTTACGACTGGAATGGTTTTTGCAGTAGTGTTTTATATAGACGAATCTACTACAAACACGTGTCCGCAGACTTACCATACAGTTTTGCTGCTGTTGTTATTTTAGTCCCATAAAGTTGTCAAGCAGTTCTAGATTTTGTAAAGCACTTATATAACTCTTTGTACTTTCTGCTTACTAGTAATTTTTTCAGGATCCAAACGGTTTCGGAACCGAAATGGATAATGGCCAGATCATTGGTCCCAGTAGCAGCACTTACGTTGCCGCTGGCGAATATGTTGAAGGAAGTAATAACCTTAACAAGTATTATGTCAAGAACCCATCTTTTGCAGAAGTTCAGACATCTGATAGTCAGGAGTCGGGAAATGGTAAGAGTTAATTCTATATCTGTCCTGAGACTTACATGGAATGACTGAGTGACTAATAACTCGAAATTATGACCGAATTACATTCAGGTTTTGAAAACAAATTTGAGTTTTCGATGTGCTTTTCTTTTTAGCGTATGACGTTGGACTTGAAGTTGCAACGATTTTAACAAGAATGAAGAAGCGAGATGATGAGAAAGATTTCGGTGGTGAAGAGATTCCCGGAGAACAGTCAGATTCTGTCGGCGACAATTCCAGATTGGTAAATTTTTATAGCTGAGAGGTTATTCACAGAAATTTAATTTTTGATTTGACTTGGAAATTTTAGCTGTTATGGTACTAGACCTGGATTTATTTACAGCACATTTCAGGTTCGAGCTTTAGAGTCTCGAGAAGTTTTAAATAAAGGTTATGGGGGCACGATTTTGTTGGAAGGGCAAAGAGAGAATTCTGGTACTAGTCATTGTTCATCTAAATCGGTCTTCAAGGTTATTGTTTTTGAAGTTGCGTATTACATTTCTAGGAAATGTAGTTTACCTGTAGTAACAGCATACATTTCTTTGATCTTACTGGAGTTTGAACTATTTAGGTGGCTTCAGACAGTAGCGTGATAGATTCTAACTCAAGTAGAGGAATTGTTTCTGAGGGTACAACACTTACAGCTGTCGCTGATGGAGAAGGTATAGGTAACAATAGCTTTTTTTGTCTTTTTGAAGTTTAAAAACAGTTATAAATTTTTCGTTTTTCGTAACTTCTCGCAAGTATAAAGTAAACATGGTTCCTGAATGGAAGGTCGTCTTAAACTAATTTGAACATTTTCTGCCTCATACATCACACAATTTGTCGAGGACGGCTTTTTTAATCATAACTAAGCATGCAGGAAGATTCAATTTCTAGTTCTTTTGCAGCTTTTTTCAATTCTCTAAATTTTAGATCTGGCTCCACTGGTGAAGCGGTCGAGAATTGCAGGTCCTTCGTAATTTTTGATCAGTTTAGAAGGAAGCAGTTTAGATGAGTCTCGTTTTGGCTTTTGTTCTCATTAGTAACTGGTGATCTCATTATTCTTGTTTGTTATGTTTCTGTACCATAGTTTTGTCTGAGTGATTCAGAAATGTTTCTCTCAAGGGGAAACTAGAATATCATGATTTTTTTTTTTTTTTTTTTGAGTGTTTCTTATTTTGACAGGCTACTTTTGTGATCACTTTCTGTAACTTAATTGATTTGAACTATGATCTTTCTTTTTGTTATCTGAATTATTGCCTTTTTCAAATGTAATTTCAAAGCTCCTAACCTTTTTCTTTTAACAGAAGGTAGTGTTGTAGTTGCTCTTTTCTAGCTTATTGGGAAGCTTTTTTTCATTGTACAGTTTTAATAAATCATTCAGTTCGTCATATGAGTTGTCAGTCTGCTTTGAAGAGGTAGAATTTCTAGAATTTGTGGTTGTTCATTAAAGTCAGCTTTCATTGCTGGTTTTTAAGCTAAATAAATTTTAAAAAGTTCTGCACCTCGGCTGTTTTATGGAGCAGGATGTGAGCCGCGGTTTTTGGGTTTTGAAACCTTGTTTTTTTTCCCAAGGCAGCTCCAGACGGTGGGCAGGAGGCGTGGTGTTTTTTTTTTTCTTTGCCGAATCGGTAGTATAACTTGCAATTGTAAGGTTTTCTGGAAGTAGGGTTTCCAAAAAGTACAAACTTCTAGATGCAATTGTAAAACTGCATCTAGAATTTTCTACTTTTCTGCTATCTTTAGGCAACAAATGCTTAGTGCGTTTGGTAATGTGTGGGGACCTTTACAGTATTTCTACAGCAATTATTTTTTGTTGTTTGGAAGTCACTCATTGAACTCTGTTTCCAGCGGACTCCAGGTTTAAAGCGCTGTCATGGATAAGGATGACAATGAAATTTTGAAACCGGGAAAGAGGAGATCAGATGGAGTGGAGGAATCTTTAACATCGGCAGGAGTCGCTGAACTACCCTTGGCCAGAGTGAAGACAATTATGCAGAAAGGCGGCGATGACCTTCCTATATCTCAGGAGGGGTTATTTGCAATGGCGAAGGCTGCGGTGTGCATTGTATCTTCTGCTGAAAGTCGTTTTGACAACGTTTGTTTCATAGGTTTCGATATTCGTCTGTAAATTTTCTTGTTTGTTGTTATAGGAAATGTTTATTAGTGAGTTAACAAAAAATGTCTATGAGGCGGCAGACGCGAACTGCGTAGAATATTGTCACCTAGCAGATTACGTTCAACAAAGTGATGAGTTAGATTTCTTACATGGTGAGTTGTATTTTCATTTATTTTCTTCTTTATAATAATTTTTAGGAGTATTTCTCATTTGGAAATGCTTTTTTATTTTATTTTGT